AAATCACCCACTTCTCCTTGGGCAAATGAGCCCATTTTGATAGGGCACTGTCATCACACCTAGTCCAGATCCCCATCCAGTTTTCACTTCATTTCATCAAGGTTTGCCATGCTTTTCATGTTATATTCTGCAGGCGGGTGCAGAGTTCTGTGCAGAAATGCCTGGAACCATGTTTCTTGTGAAATCAACCACTTCTCCTTGGGTAAATGATCTGATTTTCATAGGGGACTCTCATCACACATATTCCAAACTCCCCTCTGAAATTCATCTCATGTGCCCAAGGTTTGCTAGGGTTTTTTAACCTTGTTGTGCAGTTGTCTGCAGAATTCTGTGCAGAATTGCCTGGAATCAGGTTGCAATTCAAATCACCCACTTCTCCTTGGCCAAATGAGCTGATTTCTATAGGGGAATCTCATAACACATATTCCAGACTCCCCTCTGAAATTCAACTCATTTGCCCAAGGTTTGATATGGTTTTTAAGCCTTGTTGTGCAGCAGTCTGCAGAATTCTGTGCAGAATTGCCTGGAATCAGGTTGCAATTGAAATCACCCACTTCTCCTTGGGCAAATGAGCTGATTTTTATAGGGGACCCTCATCACACATATTCCAGACTCCCCTCTGAAATTCAACTCATTTTCCCAAGGTTTGATATGGTTTTTAAGCCTTGTTGTGCAGCAGTCTGCAGAATTCTGTGCAGAATTGCCTGGAATCAGGTTGCAATTGAAATCACCCACTTCTCCTTGGGCAAATGAGCTGATTTTTATAGGGAACTCTCATCACGCATATTCCAGACTCCCCTCTGAAATTCAACTCATTTGCCCAAGGTTTGATATGGTTTTTAAGCCTTGTTGTGCAGCAGTCTGCAGAATTCTGTGCAGAATTGCCTGGAATCAGGTTGCAATTGAAATCACCCACTTCTCCTTGGGCAAATGAGCTGATTTGTATAGGGGACTCTTATAACACATATTCCAGACTCCCCTCTGAAATTCAACTCATTTTCCCAAGGTTTGATATGGTTTTTAAGCCTTGTTGTGCAGCAGTCTGCAGAATTCTGTGCAGAATTGCCTGGAATCAGGTTGCAATTAAAATCACCCACTTCTCCTTGGCCAAATGAGCTGATTTTGATAGGGGACTCTCATCACACATATTCCAGACTCCCATCTGAAATTCAACTCATTTGCCCAAGGTTTGATATGGTTTTTAAGCCTTGTTGTGCAGCAGTCTGCAGAATTCTGTGCAGAATTGCCTGGAATCAGGTTGCAATTGAAATTACCCACTTCTCCTTGGCCAAATGAGCTGATTTTGATAGGGGACTCTCATCATACATATTCCAGACTCCCCTCTGAAATTCAACTCATTTGCCCAAGTTTTGATATGGTTTTTAAGCCTTGTTGTGCAGCAGTCTGCAGAATTCTGTGCAGAATTGCCTGGAATCAGGTTGCAATTGAAATCACCCACTTCTCCTTGGGAAAATGAGATGATTGTTATAGGGGACTCTCATCACACATATTCCAGACTCCCCTCTGAAATTCACCTCATTTGCCCAAGGTTTGATATGGTTTTTAAGCCTTGTTGTGCAGCAGTCTGCAGAATTCTGTGCAGAATTGCCTGGAATCAGGTTGCAATTGAAATCACCCACTTCTCCTTGGGCAAATGAGCTGATTTTTATAGGGGACTCTCATCACACATATTCAAGACTCCCCGCTGAAATTAATCTTATTTTCCCAAGGTTTGATATGGTTTTTAAGCCTTGTTGTGCAGCAGTCTGCAGAATTCTGTGCAGAATTGCCTGGAATCAGGTTGCAATTGAAATCACCCACTTCTCCTTGGGCAAATGAGCTGATTTGTATAGGGGACTCTTATAACACATATTCCAGACTCCCCTCTGAAATTCAACTCATTTTCCCAAGGTTTGATATGGTTTTTAAGCCTTGTTGTGCAGCAGTCTGCAGAATTCTGTGCAGAATTGCCTGGAATCAGGTTGCAATTAAAATCACCCACTTCTCCTTGGCCAAATGAGCTGATTTTGATAGGGGACTCTCATCACACATATTCCAGACTCCCGTCTGAAATTCAACTCATTTGCCCATGGTTTGATATGGTTTTTAAGCCTTGTTGTGCAGCAGTCTGCAGAATTCTGTGCAGAATTGCCTGGAATCAGGTTGCAATTGAAATTACCCACTTCTCCTTGGCCAAATGAGCTGATTTTGATAGGGGACTCTCATCATACATATTCCAGACTCCCCTCTGAAATTCAACTCATTTTCCCAAGTTTTGATATGGTTTTTAAGCCTTGTTGTGCAGCAGTCTGCAGAATTCTGTGCAGAATTGCCTGGAATCAGGTTGCAATTGAAATCACCCACTTCTCCTTGGGCAAATGAGCTGATTGTTATAGGGGAATCTCATCACACATATTCCAGACTCCCCTCTGAAATTCACCTCATTTGCCCAAGGTTTGATATGGTTTTTAAGCCTTGTTGTGCAGCAGTCTGCAGAATTCTGTGCAGAATTGCCTGGAATCAGGTTGCAATTGAAATCACCCACTTCTCCTTGGGCAAATGAGCTGATTTTTATAGGGGACTCTCATCACACATATTCAAGACTCCCCGCTGAAATTCACCTTATTTGCCCAAGGTTTGATATGGATTTTAAGCCTTGTTGTGCAGCAGTCTGCAGAATTCTGTGCAGAATTGCCTGGAATCAGGTTGCAATTGAAATCACCCACTTCTCCTTGGGCAAATGAGCTGATTTTTATAGGGGACTCTCATCACACATATTCCAGACTCCCCTATGAAATTCACCTCATTTCGTAGAGGTTTGATATGTTTTTCATGCTCTTCTCTGCAGGCGGGAGCAGATCACTTTGTTGAAATGTACAACATTTGTTTTGTATTTAAATGCCATTGTTATACGGGTGCTAATGAGCCCTTATTGATAGGGCACTCATCTCACACTTATAGGATTATCCGTTTTAGAATTGGGTGTGCTAATCATGCAAAGTTCATGCTTGTGTTTGTTTTATGGGTTACAAAAACTAGCACTGTACGTGCTACGCGAATACCCCTATAGCGGTACTGTGGGATGTACACGGTCATTCGGTTTCTGACACGTGTGACAGGTCGCAGAGACTGCTCTATTTCCACGTTGCGGAGGGAACCATGCGGATGGGATAGTTATACGTGGCAGCCTGTCATGAACCTGACACAGGACACCTTTCTTTTTTTTTAGGGGCTGCCCGTCACCATTTCGTACTAGGTCGAGGCAAAGCTGAGACCATGCAATGCACCGCAGAACATGCAATATGCTTACATGGCATATAAGGTTGGCAATCAACCAACCAGCAACTGAAGTAGAACATTTAGGAGAACAATCTGGCGACAAATAGGCCAATCACTGCAGAAGGATGCAAAGAGTAGTTCGCAGATGTTCGAAGGGAAATGGTGAGAAGCCTAATATTTTGATGTAGGGGGCAGAAAAGTCTTACTACGCCTGGCGTTTGTAGCAAAGCCTTTCCCACCTTCTGTGAGGACGAGAGCACAACCAATTCTACCAGCGAAGCAGAAGTTGTTATCAGGGTGGGTGCACCAAAGCTCAAGGTCATTCTCGCCATTCCAATCTGAGTCTTGGTTCCACAACTAGCCTCCTCACTAGCTTCCCTCTCATTCTAGTGTCGGCCTCAAATCCTGCAGGCGGACAGTGTATGGTAGTAACCGTATAGCTACCTGCCATCTTCTGGCTTACTTACGCGATGTCGTCCCAGTTAATCACAGATGGCTGCGGATTGTCTGTACGACTAGGGCTGGAGTCTTATGAAATGTTAATCGCTCGTCAGGAAGAGTGGAACGAGGCGTTGTTACTTTTCGGCCTTGTGTATGTATCCAAGCGCAGTTTGTAACGCACGCCGACTTCATCGGCACGTTAAACCCTTGTATTTTTAGACACGCACCTGCTATCTTCTTACCTCTGCGACATGTCGGCTTGGATGCAGGGAGGTTGCCAAGGACAAGATTGGGGATCCTCGCGTTCGCAGGGACATAAAGATTCTGGCTCCTACCGAGCATCGGCGTTTGAGGTCTGCCGTCTCGCATGTCCCCAGTTGTGGCAGCGAACATCGGTCGCTGTTGGACTACCAGATGGTTTTAATACCCATGATATCAGAGTGAGTTTCTTGACATGGATCCGCAACGTCTGTCGATGACACCAGCTTATCTTGCTAATCCAAACTTCGATGTACCGCAGAGTCCCTGTTGTTCACTCGACGGCGAACAGTCTCATGGTGCTGATGAACCCGCAAGATTTGTTAGCACATCCCCGCGGAGAGTACCGTACGCGTGTGCTACACTTCGACCCTAAATCTCCAATCCCAACCCATCGCCACAGCGACCATGCCAAGGAGGTGTTCGAGTAAGTGTCACTCCTTAATCAGATGTGCGGTTTGTATGGACGCATGTTATTGATTATTTGCGACCCCCTTGCCCTGTAGCTGGCTTATTCGACAACTAGATGTGGAATACAGCCGAGGTCGCAGGGTCTCTGGCAGCCACGCCGAAGCGGTGCAGAAAGATTTGAGGGATCGCCTAGAGGAACTGATTCCGGAGGAAGGCAGGGTAAGGAGTCTCTATTTTTATGATTTAAGCGTTGTATGATATTAAGCTTGTAAAATGTTACGGGAGTGTCTGACAATCACCTGTTCACGCACATGTCGCAGATCAACAAGGTTCAGGGACAGAGGCAAGTGGGTTCCGGGCTGCACGTTACCCATCTGTTCAGCAAGTCGCTGGACAAATGGGGGGATGTCATGGCGATTCAAACTGCAGAGCCGATGATCCCCTTAGGGAAGGGGAAAAACAGCGCGAAAGAAATTCGGAGTATGCTGGAGTCGACCTGCAGGGCCTTCTTCGACCTGCAAGGAGTCCAGCTCCGTTCCGCCCCGGATGCAGTCATGACGACCCATGAGGCTCGAGTGGTGGAGAGCGCACCGGAACAGTCCGGGAATACCATGGAGCCGGCGGCACAGAACAGATCCGAAGCGGTAGAGGGACAGAGAGACGTACCTGCCGCAAACCGGGACGCAAATCCAAGAGTGGGGGAAATTTCATATTCCCGCCGACCTGCACCGGGGGGTGCACTACTGAGTGGCCCGACATCAAGGTCAGCCCGTGCGGACGAGCATGTTAGGTCTGGAGTTAGGCAGCTCAGGTTTGCTGATCGGGTTAGGAGGCCGCCGGAACGTGAAGCACGGACGGAGACCGACTTGTCAAGTGTAGCAGATGAAGGCGAGGAGGGTGTAGAAGATCCACAGCTGCCAAGTCAGGTTGAACAGGCAGAGGAGCAGTGGAGGAAGGCGGCTGATGATAAGCGGATGGCCGAAGCAGAAGCCAAGAGGAGACGGGCTGAAGAGAGGCAACGGCGCCGTGATGGCGACACCGATCCTATCGTCTCTTTCCCGGGAACAGGAGACATACGTCAAGCATGGGAGCGTGGGGCACGAGCCGCTGCAAGGGCACACGTGGGAGTGGCAGGAGGAGAGGAGCTCGCCAGCAATGTGCGGCAGCATATCGAGGAGGATACGGGATACGTGAAAGTTCGCTTGCCAAGTGTAAAGCGGAAGGCGGCTGAAGAGGCCCGGAGAGGGGACGTCGACGTACCAGAGAATTCGGGAGAGGCGAAAAAGAAGGCGCAGAGCAACGCGGGTGCAAAGGCTCATAAGATGGCGGAGGTAGAGGCGCACCAGAAAGTGTCAGAGGTCCACTGGTGATCCCCGATTGATCCTAGGGAAGGGTTACAGGCATGTTGGCCTGGGGGGTTATGGGCGCACTGACCCGCTACTTAACAAGCCCTTTTATCCCAATGGTCTAGTGGTTGGGATTCTGACATGATATCAGAGCGAAGGTCTCGGGTTCGAATCCCGGTGTGTGCACTTCGGGCATCCCAGTGCGGGGGGGTGTCAGAGGTCCACTGGTGATCCCCGATTGATCCTAGGGAAGGGTTACAGGCATGTTGGCCTGGGGGGTTATGGGCGCACTGACCCGCTACTTAACAAGCCCTTTTATCCCAATGGTCTAGTGGTTGGGATTCTGACAGAAAGCAGAGGATGCGGCCCATCGGTTCGTCGATGCAGAGGCGGCACTTACGGCAGAGGACGGGGCGCCAAAGGAAACAGAGGCTGCGGCGCAGCAGAAGGTGGGTGCAGAGGCGGTCAAGAGTGCGGAGGCAGTCGCGCGTAAAGGAGCGGGTGCAGCAGCAGAGCTGACGTCGGAGGCAGTCGAGCTGAGGTGGTGGAGGCAGTGGCGCAGAAGGAATCAGAGGCAACGGCGAGCCAGAAGGATGAGGCAGTGGCGCAGCAGAATGATGAGGCAGACGCACATAAGGAATCAGCGGCAGCAGCGCAGCAGAAGGATGAGGGTGCGGCGCCCAGGATGGTCGAGGCAGAGGCGCAGAAGGAATCAGAGGCACCGGCGCAGCAGAAGGAGGAGGGTGCGGCGCCGAAGATGGTTGAGGCAGAGGCGCAGAAGGAATCAGAGGCAGCGGCGCAGCAGAAGGAGGAGGGTGCGGCGCCGAAGATGGTTGAGGCAGAGGCGCAGAAGGAATCAGAGGCAGCGGCGATCAAGAAGGATAAGGCAGCGGCGCTGCATATGGATGAGGCAGACGCACATAAGGAAGGAGAGGCGCGGAATAAGGCAGAAGCAGCGGCGCGGCAGAAGGCGGAGGCAGAGGAGCAGAAACAGGCTGCGGAAGAGGCGCTACAACTGGCTCGGGCAGAAGCGCGGAAGAAGGCTGTTGTAGAGGCGCGGCAGAAGGCGGAGGGTGAGGCGCAGAAGATGGCAGAGGCCGAGGAGCAGAAGCAGGCTGAGGCAGACGCACGTAAGAAGCCAGATGGAGAGGAGGGTTCAGATGGGAATAAAATGATACAGACAGAGGGACGGGAGACGGCGGGTGCTGAGGGGCACATCATCGCAGAGGAAGAGGGGCAGCATGACGAGGAGGCAGCGTCGCAGGTATTCGCATACCGAGAGACGCAGAGCATGGCAGAGACAGAGCGTCAAAATACTATGGAGGAGGTTCGTGTGGTCCCGGAGGCTGGAGTGGGGCACTACGAGGGAGATCCGCTGGAAACAGAAGAGGAGCAGGATGAGGAGGATACGGTACATCCGGCAGTCCGGATATTTTTGGGAGGAAGTCCGACGCGGGGACCAGGAACCGGGATAGAGGGGCCATGGAGGGTGGCAGACGATGGGGCGCCTAGGGATACAGTGGATCTCAACAGGCAGAGGCGGCCTACCCTTCACCAGAGAGCAGAGGAGAGCAATCTCGGCCAAGGCGGGGTGGCAGAAGCGTTTTGGCAGGTAGAGTGGGTCGAGGCAGAGACGGCAATACGGCGGATGCTGCAGCGCACGAGTACAGTCCTGGTCGAACAAGGTGACAGGTTTGTCGAGGCCGAAAGCTGGGACATAAGCCCGGCAGAGGTAACGCGTCGTCTGACGCTCTTAGCCCGAATGGTGACGCAGACGTTCTGCAACTTGGCGGCCCGCAACAGCAGCATCAGTCGCGACGTGGCCGATCTGACCGTCCATTACTGCCGCGACGCCCTGGCCAACCTGGAAGAAGTCCGCCATGGAAACGAGGAACGGCGGCGCCAAGCTGAAACGGCGGCCAGATTTCGCGAGCAGGTGGACACGAGACTCTCCAACTTGCGGGAGAGTATCGTAAGGGTGAGTGATCAGGTTCGCCAGTCGGGAGGGGGGATGGCGGAGGGCACGTTAAAGGGGGTGGAAGTGAGGTTGAGAGAGGTTCTGAGAGAAGACTCTGAGCGGCGGAACAGGGATATACTGCAGGACGAGGAGCGGAGGCAGAAGGCCACGAGGAAGGAAGCAGACGCCGCAGAGAGACGGAAGAAGGAACAACAGCAGGAGGAAGAGCGTCGGCAGAAGGAGATGAGAGAGGGAATGAAGGAGATGAAGGAGGCGATGATGAAGGAGATGAAGGCAGAAATGAAGGAGATGAAGGATGGGATGGTAAACCAGATTGTGGGGAGGTTGAGCGCGGTTTTGCGAGAAGAATCTGAGCGGCAGAAGAAGGCGAGGCAAGAGGACGCGGAGCGGCGACAACAGCAGGACGCGAAGAGGAAACAAGTGGCGGACGACGAGGAGAGACAGAAGAAGAAACAACTGGACGAGCAATGGCGGAAGGAGGAGGAGGAGAAGAGGAAGGATGTAGAGGCCACAGAGCGGCGGAGGAAGAAGAAACATCAGGAGGAAGAGCGACGGCAGAAGGAGGTGGAGGCGGGAATGAAGGAAGTGATGGAGGCTGTGAAGGAGATGAAGACGGGGATGAAGGGGTGGAAGGAGGGGATGCTAAGTGAGGTGGAAAAGCGGCTGTCAGTAGTTCTGAGATTGGACGCAGAGCGGCGGCAAAAGGAGGAGCAGGGTAGGAAGGCAACGGAGGGAGATCGGCGACAGAAGGAGGATGCGCAGAGGAAGGAGGCTGAGGAGGACGATCGGGAGGAAAGGGAGAAACAACAGGAGAAGGAGCACCAGCAAAATGAGGAGACGCAGAGGAAGGAGGCAGAGGAAGCAGAGCGGGTGGAGAGGGAGAAACAGCAGGAGATGGCGCGCCTGCAGAAGGAGGAGGCGCAGCGGAAGGATGCAGAGGAGGCCGAGAGGCAGGAGAGGGAGAAACAGCAGGAGATGGCGCGCCTGCAGAAGGAGGAGAGGCAGAGGAAGGAGGCAGAGGAGGCAGAGCGGCAGCAGAGGGCGAAACAGCAGGAATTGGACCGCCTGTAGAAGGAGGAGGCGCAGAAGGAGGCAGAGGAGGCCGAGCGGCAGCAGCGGGCGAAACAGCAGGAGATGGAGCGCCTGCAGAAGGAGGAGGCGCAGAAGAAGGAGGCAGAGGAGGCCGAGCGGCGGCAGAGGGCGAAACAGCAGGAGATGGAGCGCCTGCAGAAGGCGGAGCAGTGCCGAGCAGAGAAGAGGGCCAGACTTGCATCCTACGCGGAACAGCAGCGGCAACTGGAGGCAAAGGCAAAGGCGATGGCTGAAGAGACAGAACAATTGGCACGGGAGATGGAAGAGGAGGATTCGACCATGCAGGGGGAGGGGACCTGGAAGGGAGTCGAGGAGGAAATAGCTGAGGGCCTGGGGAGTTTGCTGTTGATTGAGAGCGGGGAGGCGAATGTAGCAGAGGGCGTGGCTATTGTTCCCGGACAGAACGTAGAGGTGTCCAGGAGGCGGCCTAGATAGGAGGACAGGGAGCCGGGGGGTCATGCGGCTAAGAGACGGCGTGCAGCTGGTATACAGGAGTTGATACCGATAATCCCAGGGGAAAAGAAAGGGATGAAGATCGACAAGTGTGACAACAGGAAAAACGCCGTAGTGGACGACAAGGGTAAGACTTTGGGTGTCTGCCTGCCGTTCAGGGGAAGCGGGTTCTCTCAACGGGGCGAGGGAGCTTTGCAGAAGTGGACGTCTGAGCAGACCGTCGGCGGCCGGAAGCGGAACCTTGGCTCTCACAAAACGGTGTGGGAGAGGGCATACACGGTCGCAGTCTGCTGGAAGTTCTACTTCCCGGATATTGACATGCAGGCATACGGCATGAATCCAAACCGTATTAACAAGTGGCGGGAAGACCTCGACTTCACAACGTGGCTTCCAACAGGGGTGTGGAGCGTCATCAACGAGCTCCACCTGGACAAACCGGACGGGTGAGTGTTTATGTGATGGACAGTTGCAACTTCTAAACACCCGCGAAGTTCGATGGTTCTGATCTTGCGACACTGGTGTCTTGTGCAGATTCTCACTCGTTCAAACCAACACGGCTCTTCGGTAGCAGCAGGGGGATGGCTTTCAGGTAGCTGCCTGCGCTGGTGTCGGAATAACTGCGTGGCAGAAGATGGTGGGAGGCGTGGAGGGTGAAAACGGCTATTCGACGGAAGAATACGCAGTCGGACTCGCCGCCACGTTGTCTGTAATGTGGGCCGCATCCACGAATGTGGACCAGACCCAGTGGGAGACGGGCGCAACATCAGCTGCACGTGGAACTTCTACGGCCATAGCATCTTCTGCTGCCAGATCGTCCACTTCTGCCACCGCCTCGTCGGCTGCCTCGTCATCTTCTGCGGCCGATGTGTCCTCTGCCGTCCTCGATGCCCTTGCGACGCTTGCAGCCTCGGTTGCTTGCGTTGCGGTTGAGGCGATGAGGTCGGTCAAGGATCAGGAGCATGACAAGGAAGCGTGGAATCTGCCCCTGTCGGATGCGCTGCTGAAAGCGCTTCCGGCAGAGTCGCGAGCGGCCGGGGACGGATGACGAGGGTGGTGGCAAAGTGTCAGAATGTTATATTATCTAGCCTGCAGTGGTGTGCTCTATAGCGAGTACAACCCAGTTAGGGTTTGCTATATGTATCCAACTGCTTGCTAGTGAACCCCCTCCTTTTCTTCAATTCTGTTTCTGCCTGCTAACTTTGACATGGTTTCAGAGCAGGTCGACCCCCTTGGGTCGATCCTGTGGGTGGGCCCGCCACCTAACTGCTTCCGCTGCTGTTCTGCTTCTCGCGCGCCTCGGGCGTGTGCCGTCTTCTTCTTGCCGTGCGCTCGGGGCCTTGGCGAGTTTCTGCCCGCCGTGCGCCCCGAGGCGCGCGGCGGTTTCCTACCGTGGGGGACCCGCGCGCACCCCCGCCCTGTCCGTCGCGTCGCCCTGGGGGACCCGCGCGCTGCCCCCGCTGCCCCGTCGGTGGTCGCGTCGCCCCCGGGGACCCGCGAGCCGCCCCTGGAGCCGTGCGCGACCCCCCCGCTGCCCCGTCGCGGTGCCCTGGGGGGCCGCGCGCGGCCCCTCGCTGCCCCATGGTGGCGCCCTGGGGGCCGCGCGCCTTCCCCCGCGCTCCTACCCCGTGCCACCCGTTTTAGTGTTTGGGGGTGGGGAGTGTGGGGGTGGCGGTTGTGGGGGTGCCGGTTGTGTGCCCCGTCCCCTACTCCTCCTCCTCCTCCGTCTCCCGCTGCTGCAGCTGCCGCTCAGGGGGGTGGGTGTGTGGGAGCCGAAGGAGTGGTGCTAGGGGGGTGACGTGGGAGTGGAGTTAGGGGTTCAGCAGGGGGTCTGTGTCAAGGGTGTGGGTCAGTTGGAGGAGGTTGTGTGGAGGTAGCTGTCGTGTCGCCTGCAGCGCCTGTAGTCCGTCGCCCTTGCTTCGGTAGCCAGTGAGCCTGTTGCACCAGTCGCCAGTGGGTCCGTTGCTCCTGCCGCTCGTCTTAGCCGCGGAGCCAGTCACTCCAGTAGTCCGTCGCCCTTGCTTCGGTAGCCACTGAGTCAGCCGCTCCTGTGCCCGTGCCTCTGCAGCTTCAGTCGTTGCCTCCCATCTTCTCTCCTTCCACAGTTCCTCCTCCTCCTCACTTGCCCGCTGTGATTACCTCTAGCTTTGCTTATTATTGTGAACTCCTGCTATGCCTGCTCATTGTGCTGATTTCACCCCACTTTGGCTATGGGGGTGTGTCAGAATGTTATATTATCTAGCCTGCAGTGGTGTGCTCTATAGCGAGTACAACCCAGTTAGGGTTTGCTATATGTATCCAACTGCTTGCTAGTGAACCCCCTCCTTTTCTTCAATTCTGTTTCTGCCTGCTAACTTTGACACAAAGGTGGTGACCTCTTGGTGCCTATGCAGCATGGCATCAAGAGGCCTTCGCCAGCACCAGGGCGTCTGCCTCGGAGTCCTGCAGAAGAAGTTGGGCGGCCGGGACACCACAACAGGGGCGGATAAGGAGAAGAAGACCAAGAAATCGTCCGCGAAGGGGAACGCGACGAAGGATGCGTCGACGGAGGAGAACACCAGCACCGGCGGGCAGGAGTGATAGAGGCAGACGGGTTCTTTGGAGGTCTTGTTAGTCCCGCAGTAGAAATAGATAGTCCTTTCCGTTTTTTTCTTAACCGTGTATAAATATAGGTGTTGTTGTATACAATACAATGAGAGATGTATTGTTTGCTATGCAAACCTTCACTACACTCGCGAAATTTGTAGGGCGCGTATGGAGCTAGCAATGCAGCCGATAGAACTCGCCATCAAAGGGAGGGCCAGCCGAATAAAATAATTGACGGCAGGACGGCCTTCTACGACACTTAATCTACGTTTAATACTCGGCTTCTACGAGGAGGTAGAAGTATGGGGCTAAACAATCGCATAACATCTTGTCTTAGGGAGCACCTTGTTAAGAATCGTATACGGTATTCCTATGCACAGACCTTTCTACTATGGAGATTGAATTCCTCGACGCCAAATTCTGGAGGCAAATCGGAAACGACACTATACCGCAGAAAAACCCACGTATGGATAACATCTACCGTCATGGATAGGATCTTCGATGCTACTAGTAGAATATGACACTCCTTTGCCCAGAAACATATGCTGAGACTGAATACATCCACGCAAAAGTCTACCGAGTCGCCTAAGAACACACATCTACAATTCTGAGAGTGAAGACATCGACGCCGCTCTATAGAATAACATCGTATACGACATGAGTCCGCAGAATTTCGCCCGGTGTATACCATCGATGTGTGCTTCAATGCATAGACCAGAAAAACATTCTACGAAAAACAGCGCGTCCAGGGAAGAAGGTGGCATACAAGCCCCAAATCGGGCTTCTACAGAGACAGACAAGTGCATGTAGTGCATATTCAGTACAACCGGAATAAAGTACCCAAATAACTAAACCGCCCCACCCTAAAGGTACATGCCCCCTCATTTCTGCTCCTAGCGTTTCCACGCATCGCCCTTCGCCTTTTCCCGTTCCGCCTTCTTCGCCGCAGCAGTTCGTTGTTTCTCCTCTTCCGCCTTCTCCTCCGCCATGTGTTCCTTGTGGATCTCCTCCCACTCATCATCCCCAAACAGCGAAGTTGCCCACTCCTGGTCGCGAAGGCCCTTCTTGACTAACAGCCAGCCCACTCTGCGTTGCGCCAAGTCGTTGACGGTCCTCTTTTCCGTCGACGAACCGGTCTTCTGTTTCTTGATGGGCGGAGTCTCATGCAGCACCGCCAGGCCGTTGGTGAATTTCGTGAAGTTGCACATGAGTAAAACCTCGTCCAGCAGCTTAATGGCCGTTGCGGTCGCCGCCTCGGAGCTGTCTTTTCTTAGCATCTCCACGGAAACCATGACACGATGCACGCGACGCATCTTTCGCTCTCATGCACCCACAGCCATCCCGGGCGTTCCTTTGTCAGCGAACCGGGAATATGCGGTGATGAAGCTGGAATTCTTGTTCTTCTTCTTATACCGGTCGAACTCTGCAAAGACTTCGCGCAGTGACCTGCCGCCCATGATGAGGCTTGGCTGCACCCACAGTTTCCAGGCAGCAGCAACAGTGGTGGCTTCGCGCCAAGACACAACGACCACGACGAAGAATTCTTCCACGGCAACTGGTGCTTTGGATGCGTCCGTTGCCTGGTTTGCTCCTGTTCCCGCGCTCTTCGACGATCCGTCGATCTCTGCAGAGGTGTTTGCCGCGTCATCCCTGGCCTCAACAGACCTCTTGTATGCTTCGAACTCTGCAATGACCCGAGCCTTGTCCTCTCGCTCAGCGGCGAGTTTCTCCCTCAGTTCAGCGTTCTCCATCGCCAACTGCATTTCACATCCTCTCAAAATCCCAAGCTCCTCCCTGAGCATATTGGCGGTGAGGTGCATCTTCTGCATCTTCTCTTCTGCGGTCGTGCGAAAGATAGCGTCCTGCAGAAACCAACACGGCAGAACTCAGCATGAACGAATAACTCCCTCTCTCTACCACTAATAGCAGGCACTTACTGCTTTGGCGGTGGTTTGGCCGGTTGCCCGAAGCTTCTCGCCCTGGAAGTGAGAGATAGCGACCAGGTACGCCCACTTTTGGAACAGCGGGTGGTTGCACAAGGGGCTCATCTGCACATATGGATGCCTCTCGCAATTGCACCGCGGGTTTCTCACGCCGTGCTGATGGCAGAACGCCCACATCATAGCCAGATCCTGTGCAACAACGAGGCGTCCGATGCTCGCGAGGGTCTCAAGGAACCTCGCCCCCGCATAGTGCCTCTTCAGCGGATCGGTCTGCGCAGCGTTCCATTCTTCGACCTGACGGGACGAGTATGCAGGAGAAATGCGACGGTTCATAATCGCGTATCAAAATTAAGCTACGAACGCGAAGACTGTACACTAGCACGTACCTTCTTCCAACCCTCTTCGACCCAGGGGAAAATGTGAAGCCTCAAGAGATCCAAGAGCTGCAACCACTCATCCTTCTCCTTATCCTTATGCCGTGGAAGCTTGGCGCGGGCTCTGCCGATGTAGTAGTCTCCACGATCCCCGCTGAATCCTGCCAGCAGCCAAACCGGCTTGAACGGAATGCCGAACACATAACACCTCCGCAACTCCTCCTGCGCCCATTCGCCCAGAGTGCCGATATCGTTGTCGGAGCAACCGTCGTCATGGAGTTGTTGCGCTCCGGATCTGCGGAATGCATGTGTCACCTTGCTCAGAATCCATCTCGCCTTCATCATGGCCCACTTAATCCAGGTGTTATGCGTTTTGTAGTGCATCTCGTCTTGCTTTTGCTTTCCCTGGTCGCCCTTCTTCAAAGAAAAGAAGAGGTGCGCTTTAGTCCACAAGATCGGTTCAGAAAAGTCGAGAGGCTCGACGATACCGGGGCCGTAGCGCAGAGGAACGAGGTCGTAGATGAAATGAAGCCACAGGAACACATGGCCCATTCCGCAGAGCCGCCAGTCCCTATGCCTTGCAAGAAACTGATGACTCAGCTTGTTGTTGGGGTTGGTCTTCGACTTCCTGGAAACAACGACGAGTACGAAAACGTCCAGATAGTCGTCGAGGTGTGATGCGCTCCGCGTCATGCGGACAAACAGGTTCCCAAGGCGAATCTTTCGAATGCTGCACCCTCTTCCGAGAAATTGGTGTCCGAGGTGCATCATAACCGGGACTTGCAGAGCCTTCCAGAGAGGAAGCGAGATTTGTGACGGAGGCGTCCGCCACCAGATCTCTAGGAGCTCTTTTCGCAGAACAGTAAGATGCAGCGTCCTATACTGGCTTCCCGTATAGCAATCACCAATTGATCCACGGGTTTGATCTCGACCATCCCTGCATAGAATAGCACAGTAATTATGTAAACCATGTAGATCAAAATTCACACAAACAGAAAGCACACGTGTATGTTACTCACGCGAATTGCTCGTCGTTCAGATCCTTCAGCTTGACTTTGAGATAATCCCGAGCATCCTTGATCCAGTCCTTGGTCAGTGTGATGGAGAAGCCGTAGAGCCTCGCCTCGCATCTGGCAAGGCATCCCATTGCGTTCATCTTTGCCTTGATCATTGAAGCCGTGCACCCCTTTGCCTCCTTCCCCACATATTTCTCGACGTCTGGCCGCATTTTTCCACGCAAAAACTTTGCCTGCTCGTCAGTTTCGCAGAAGAGATACTCGATGTATCGGCCGAGCCTCCATTACGTGACTCGCGGCCCGTGCAGATGAATCTGCCACTCGTCAGAGCTGCACGACCACCCATCATTTCCCAAGTTATTGCTCATATGAAACCCAACCTCGTCGTGCAGAGAGGGAGCCAGCCTATCTGCCACAGGGACATCTACCATCGTTGCCATGAAGATTATCACCCACCACTTGAAGTGTAGAAAGTGGAAACAATAGTGCCTTCTCGTGCCGGCCTCTATCAGTCGAAGCGGGATTGTTGAACGCCGGATCCTGCTCTCCTTTTCCGCAACGTCGGTCTGCCGCTGCGCATTTCCGGGGGCCGCAGCCTGCTCGACATGGCTCGCAGAATCGGGAGGTCGTCGTCGTCCCGGCGATGATTCTCCCTCCTCTTCTGCGTCAGAGTGATCTCCATCCTCCTCGTACCGTTCTTCGGGCACACCGGGTCGTGGGCGCACTCCATCGCCTCCCGGCCCTTCACTCCCTTCTTCACTCCCCTGGACTTGAATCCGGACGGATGGTTCGTAGAGACCACCCTGAAACAAATCCTCCTCGGTCGCCTCAAACTCGCTATCGTTCTCGCGATCCTGTGCGTAGTCTTGGTCAGTATTTTCATCGTCCTCCAGGTCTTCTTCTCTATCCTCTGCGCCCTGGGCTGCCATGGGGCGAGAGTGGACCGAGCTGTCGGCCATTCACAGATTCCTAATTTATTAGCTAGCAACCGAGACTAGACGAAAGAATCGGATGGTGTCAGCCGCGGTAGGTGGTAACGATTCGCAAGTGTGCAGATAACATAGGCAGAATGCTTAGTGGGCTAAGCGCAGAAGCCGTAAGAGAGTTTGTGCTTCAGACGTCTGCACATTGGTCTTCGAACACCGCCTACAACTTGCGTTTACATACATCTGCGCCTACAACTTGCGTATACAGGGTCGCCTGACTGTCCCGTACCGTATAGCTCTGTCACCCTTTGTTCTACCGCTTTAATTCTCTACAACGAAACAACAAAAATAAGTTCCTACCATTATACAGATATAATCATCTACGGAACCCTTATGCTTGTACATAACTTTCGTGGGTTCGACGATATTATGGATTGGGAGCGAATACTTTTACCGATAAAAAAGGCCTAACGTCGAAGATGTCCGGCTACAAGAGCGGGCGACCTACGACAATTGTTCCGGGCAAATACAAACAGTTCTACCGACAAAATATTCTACCACACACATCTGCGCCTACATAAGCGACCTAACAAGTGCGACTGCAGTTATCCTAACCGGGCTGACCCAAAATAAAAAAACCCACTCTATACGACCTACGTCACTACGTCGAGGACGCCAATGTTCTGCCAGTGGGCCAAGCAGGCTTAAAAGACTACGCTGGTGTGTGAAGAAATGAGGAATGAATGAACTAGGAAATGAGTTGGGTACAAATATGAAACCCTAGAAAGCTGTACCCCATACTGTCTACCCCACTACAGCCTAGAAAGACTATAGCATATAAGTTCGACACACCCCCATAGGCAAAGTGGGGGAGAACAAGGGGTCACAAGACCAGTCAAGCAAAGCACAGCAAGCTCAGGGTGGATCCCAACGTCACCACACATTCTGAGCACAAGTTCAAGGGCCACAAGGCCAGTTCACATGCAAGCATATATATATAAAGCTAAACATGCAAGTGCAAGTATATATAGGTCACAGTACAAGCAAGGTCAAGAAGTGAGCAAGTGAGGCAAAGTAGGCACAAGACCTAACAAAGTACAGAAGCGCTGATGATCACAAGGCGCGAGTGCCTTGGTGAAGATATCAGCAGTGTTGGCCTGAGAGGCCACGTAAGCAAGTCGTCGCTGACCACGCTGCTGCAGCTCACGAGCAAGGAAGTAGCGAAGAGCAATGTGCTTCGTTCTGTGCTCCGGTCTGTGCTCCCGACACAAGGCCAGCATGGCCTTGTTGTCTACGTACAGAACTGGAGGAGAACGAGGCGGCTCTCCAAGGTCAGTCAGCAGGTAGGTGAGCCAACGTAACTCCTGTGCAGCCATGGCCCCCGCGTAGATCTCAGCCTCACAACTGGAGCCGAGAACAGAAGACGAGCGGGTAGACCGCCACGAAACAGAGCCGGAACCAAGGCTGAAGGTGTAACCCTGTGACGACCGCTGCGTAGCCTGGTCGTCAGCCCAAGAAGCGTCTGCGTGACCAGTGAGGACCACTGGACGTCGCCCTCCAAGCACTAGCCCCATGCCCGACGTACTGCACAAGTAGCGCAACACCCTCTTCGCTGCAGCCATGTGCTCTGGTCTGTGTCTCCCAGGAGCAACATAGCGTGCCAGAATGCTAAGAGGGTATGCAAGGTCAGGTCGAGTGCAGGTCATCAGGTACATGAGGAAGCCAACAAGCTCTGGGTACGGGCCACTCGACTCTACGGACTCATCCGAAGGCAGAGCTGAGAGCGAGTGGCGAGTAGACAGAGGAGTGGCCTGAGGCGAGGAGTACGTGAAGTCGAAGCGCTGAAGGACCTGCTGCACCATGTGTGACTGAGTCAGGGTAATGGTGCGCTGTGCTCTGTCCCGGGTGATCTGCAAGCCAAGGTAGCTGCGCAGTTCACCCAGGTCTGTGTACGTGTGTCTCTTCTGCAGCTCGGACTTCACGTGGGCGAGTCCAGTAGTGTCAGCTGTGGCAAAGACCAAGTCGTCGACGTACACGAGGATGTAGAACGGCGGCAAAGAAGTGTCGGTGCGCAGAAACAGCGACGGGTCGGCAGTAGAAGGAGCAAACCCAAGAGCCGCAAGTGTAGTCCTCAGTGTGTCGTGCCACTCACGAGGTGCCTGGCGGAGACCGTAGACTGGCCGCCGGAGGCTCCACTGGGTACCAGGAGGAAAAGACCCAGTGAAGCCAGGTGGACGGCGCAGCCAGATCTCCTCGTGCAGGCTCCCCTGCAAGAAAGCAGTGCTGAAGTCAAGACAGTGAAGCTCGTAGTCACGGTGAGCGGCTATGTGCAGTAGTACCCGAAGAGTGGTCATCTTCGGGGTGGGAGAGAAGGTCTGAAAGTAGTCAACTCCCTGCCGCTGACTGAAGCCACGAGCCACGTAGCGCGCCTTGAAGACAGGCGGAGAACCCGGCGGCCGCTTCACCCTGAAAATCCACATGCCACTGACGATGTTCGCCCCAGGAGGGGGAACCTCGTCGACGTAGGTGCCTGTGGACTTCCAGGAAGCCATCTCTGCATCCATGGCTGCCTGCCACTGAGAGGAGTAGGGACCCTCTATCGCCTCCGCGTAAGAGCGCGGAGTCGGGATGTCTAGTGCATCCGGGTCTCCCTCAGGGGCAAGCAGCATGGACACAAGATGAGGTGAAGCAGCAGAAAAGCACTGGAACTCCTCCTGCCTGTCCTCAAGGACGTCCGTGCCAAGGGCACACTCACCCCCGACGGACGGAGGACAGACAGACGCAGACTCAGCGACAAGACTAGCAGCGTAGTCTAGGCGACAGTGAGCAGCGAAGTCGACAAGCTCAGAAACTAAGGCAGACGCAGCAGCGGACTCAAAGGAAGGGTCAGTGACGACAGTAGCAAGGAGACGCGTGACAGTAGGACTGGCAGCACGAAGGGAGTCCGACTCCGGGTCAGCAAGAACAGGAAGAGAGGACTCAGGAGGAGAAGGCAAAGGGGCACGCAGCGGAGCAGTGGAGGGACGCAGAGACATCCGGTGCGTGCCTGGGACAGGCGGAGGACGCTGACGCGAACCACGACTACTAGTGCGCTCAGCACGGACAGGCGACGCAGGACGAGACGCAGGCTCACGACGCTCAGCAAGACCTCCAGTAGGACCAGTGTAGGGAGAAGGAGCAGGCAGAGGAGAGGTAGGCTGTAACTGTGACTCGGACTGGACAGGCGGTGGACACTCTAAGGGAGGAGCCGGACTAGCAGAGGGCGGAAGACCAAGAACCTGCTCAAGGAGCGGAACGAAGTACGGCCGCGGCCGCTCAGCACCACCAGCACCAGAAGGGACAGCACCAGCACCCCGAACGACAGCACCAGCGCCAGCAGCACCCACTCCAGTACCCTCAGAGGCACCAGCACCAGAGGCACCCTCAGCGCCAACACCCCCAGCAGCACCAGCTCCAACCGGACCAGCAGAAGACGCAGTGGGTCCAGCTCCAGCACCCTCAGTAGCACCGACGCCCGCAGCACCACCAGCTCCAGTACGAGAAGCACCCGCAGGCCCAGCAGCTCCAGTACTCCCAGTACGAGCACCTCCGGGACCCGCGGCACCAGCACCCTCAGCAGCAGCAGAACCTCCAGCATCCGCAGCACCTCCAGCTCCAGCAGCTCGCCTCCAGCGCCGAGCAAACCACTCACGCAGCTCCTGTGGAGAGAGTAGCTCCCGCCGGGACGAAGTACCCGAAGAACCTCCAGGCCCAGTACTGCCAGACGCCACACGAGCAGGTCTAGTACCCTCAGACTCCGCACCCCCAGATGCAGCACCCCCAGGCTCAGCACCCCCAGGCGCAGCACCCCCAGGCGTAGCACCCCCAGGCTCAGCACCCCCAGGCGCAGCACCCCTAGAGTCAGCACCCCCAGGCTCAGCACCCCCAGAGTCAGCACCCCCAGACCCAGCACCCGCAGGCTCAGCACCCCTAGCAGCACCAGAGTCAACAGCTACCTCGACAGGGTCGACTGCGTCTACCTGAGACACACCTGAGGGGGCAGGACCCTGAGGGGGGAGGGGGTCTACCGGAGGGGGACCTGGCGTAAGGAAGAGCGGCGGGGGGGGGAGGGACGCAGTGCGGTAGGGGAAGAGACGGTAGTAGGGAACCGACTCGTCAAACGTGACGTCCTGGGAGGACAGAACACGGCGCGAGGTGGGGTGGTAGAACTGCCAACCCGGCGCGTCAGGGGGGAAGCCAAGGAAGACGCAGGGAACAGCACGAGGGGACAGCTTGTCCGCAGACAAGTCGCGGACAAACGCCCGAGATCCCCAGACACGGAACGCAGACGCATCGCCAACCTTCCCCGTCCACAGCAAAGCAGGGGAGGTCTCCGGCATGGAGACCCGGGGCTGAAGGTTGATCTGATGCGCCGCGTACCGAACCGCAAACGGCCACAGAAAATGGGGGGCAGCCGCATGGACCATGGACGTACGAGCGACGTCCATGACCATGCCAATGCGGCGCTCAGCAATCCCATTTTTCTGCGGAGAGTCCGGAAGCGTGAAGGTCTGTCGGATGCCACGTGCACAACAGAAGGCTCGCAGAAGGTCAGAGGAGAACTCTCCGCCTCTGTCAGAGTGCAGACGCAGAACAGGAAAGTCCGAGCCGAAACTCTCTCTGAGCTGGAGACGAGCTGCGCGGATCCAGGCGATCAACACCTCAGTGACCTCACCCTTGCTGCGCAAGGGGAAGACTGCGGTGTAACGCGAGTAGTCGTCAACCACCAGCAGGAAGTAACGCTCGTGACCCTGTCCACGGACGCGGGCTGGGCCCCACACGTCCATGTGAAGCGTCTGCAGCGGAGCCTCTGTCGGAGGAAACTCGGAGGAGTGAGGAGCAGCGCGCTGCCGCCCCTCGACGCAGGGAACGCAGGTGGGGGCAGGCCCCGGAGGAAGGGGAGGGAGGGACCGGGGGAGACCAGAGACAAGGACACGGGAGGCCATGCCTCGAAGACGAGGCAGGGAGGGGTGACCAAGGCGGTGGTGCCAGAGGAGAGTCTGGTGAGACAGGAGACGACACGAGCAGGGGGCAGACTCAGGACCAGACCTGGACGCCGCAGCACACACCTGACCCGACGCGGCTACCTGAGCAGACTCAGCGACTGGAGGAGACTCAGTAGTCAGTGTGTACAGGCTCGACCCCGGCTGACGGGTAAACGTGGCCAAGTGACGGCCCGTCCGAGCACAGGTACAGTGGGTCACTCGCTGACTCGCAGGAGTGAACTGGTGAACCCCTCCATCCTGGAGGTCAGCACCACTCACCAAGTTCGTAGAGAACGAGGGGAGGTAAAGACCCGACAGGGTGCCAGAAGTGGGCAAGGACAGGGCCCCCAGAGGGGTCTGCAAGGGAGACTGCCACTGGCCGACTAAGCGGCGTAAGCGTGGTGCGGTCTCGAAAGAAGGAGCGGGAAGCACCCGAGTCAAGGATGAAGGTGTGGGTGGCCGGAGCCGACGCGGTACCTGAGAGCGCAGACTCACCAGCACCTGGGGCAGCAGACTCACCAGCACCTGGAGCAGCAGACGCACTAGCACCTAGAGCAGCAGCCTCACCAGCACCTAGAGTAGCAGTCTCAATGCCCGGGTCAGGCGGAAAACACCGGTAACAGTCACCCTCATCACTAATAGTCACAGCATACATTGCAGCCAGAATAGCATCATAATCAAGATCAAAGATAGCAACACCCGCCCTAGACAGCTCGCCCCAGCGAGGGATCTCAGTAGCGTCGGGGAACTGATGACGCCAAGCGTCCGTCAGGCGGCCGAATCAGCGCTGGGTGGAGTGCAGACCCCCACACTGCTCACCCGCGCGGTCGCCTGTACGCAGAACGTAGGTACAGGGGCCAGCACCCCCACCCCGCTGACGAGCAGTGTACCACTCACGAAGCTGCTGGGGGGAAGGGGTCTCACGAGTGCGCTGCTGCTGCTGCTGCTGGCGCTGACCACCACCGGAGCCGACCCTCTGCGAAGAGCCGCCCCGACCAGCTCCACCTCCGCCGCCGCTACCTCCACCACCGCCTCCACCGCCACCACCTCCGCTCGCACCGCCACCACCGCCGCCTCCTCCGCCTCCACTGCCGCCACTAGCGCCCCCACTCCCGCCACCACCCCCACCGCCACCCCCACCCCCTCCGCCGCCTCCACCGCCGCCTCCACCGCCCCCGCCAGCCCCTCCAGCGCCCTTGCCTCCCTTGCCCTTGCCCGGGCGGCGTCTCCCGCTAGGGGCAGACGCCGCGCCGACCGACTCAAGACCAACGAGGTCGGCCGCAGCAGCAGAGGCAACAGAGGGCAAGAGGGGGGAGGGGGAGCACCCCTCAAAGACAGGGGTACGAGGGTCACCACGAGAGGCTCCTACAGCGACTATACTAATTTCTGCTGCTAGGAGGCGCTCCTCGAGGAGGTCAACGGTGAGGGTGGTGGGGCAAACAGAGAGGAAGTGGTCCCTGACCGAGCGAAGGGTGTCAGGGAGCCGGGTGACTATGTAGTAGAGGGTGATGTACATAGGGGGGGGGTTCTTGGCGCAGAACTCAGCAGGAAGCGCAGCGCGGTAGCGAATGTCACTAGTGCGAAGGTGCGTAATGAGGTCAGCGACTGTGGGAAAAGCGGCGAGGTCAGGGAAGAGGTACGGCAGTATGAGGCGGCTAAGGGCAGCAGTGGCAGGGGAAGAGTAGCGTGCAACGACAGCGTCGTACAAGGTCTTAGCACTCTTGTACTGACTAAAATGCGCGCGCTCAGCGGTCGGTAAGTGGCGGCGCACAGCAAGGCGAGCAGCAGCATCGCGCGTGGCCCACTGTGAGCGAACAGTGGCATCAGCATCAGCAGGCGGGCAGGAGAGGCACCAGACGTGAGATCGAAAAGGGAGAGACCGTCTGCCCTATCGCACTGTAGGAAAAGCTGCAAGTCATCGACCCAGACCTCAAAGTCAACAGCCCGACCCTCAGCATCAAAGGTAAGGACACTGGGGGTAGCCATGACAGCAGCAGTCTAGTGGTGAGAGCGGCAGGCTAGAGGCAGTGCAGTGGCAGAGACGCTGCTCGGGAAAGCTCTCACCAGTCCGGGTGGGGAGGGCCGGGACGCGCCGGCAGGAACAGGGCCGCAGCTGCGGCGGCGGCGGCTCGGCGGCTCAGCAGCGGCTCGGCGGCTCGGCGGCTCAGCAGCGGCTCGGCGGCTCGGCGGCGGCTCGGCGGCTCGGCGGCGGCTCGGCGGCGGCTCGGCGGCTCGGCGGCGGCCCGGCGGCTCGGCGGCGGCCCGGCGGCTCGGCGGCGGCTCGGCGGCTCGGTGGCGGCTCGGCGGCGGCCCGGCGGCTCGGCTGCAGCTGCGGCGGCTCAGCGACGGTGGCGGCAGGGCCGGTGAGGGGCCGCACAGAGCGGCGAAGGGGCCGTTGTAGGGCGGCGATAGGGCCGCTGGAGGGCGGCGACTGGGCCGCTGTAGGGCGGCGACGGGGCCGCTGAAGGGCGGCGGCGGGGCCGCTAGAGGGCGGCGACGGGGCCGCTGAGGGGCGGCGGCGGGGCCGCTAGAGGGCGGCGACGGGGCCGCGGTAGGGCTGCGACGGGGCCGCTGAAGGGCGGCGGCGGGGCCGCTAGAGGGCGGCGACGGGGCAGCGGTAGGGCGGCGACGGGGCCGCTGAAGGGCGGCGGCGGGGCCGCTAGAGGGCGGCGACGGGGCCGCGGTAGGGCGGCGACGGGGCTGCTGAGGGGCGGCGGCGGGGCCGCTAGAGGGCGGCGACGGGGCCGCAGTGGGGCGGCGACGGGGCCGCTGAAGGGCGGCGGCGGGGCCGCTAGAGGGCGGCGACGGGGCCGCTTGGAGGGCGGCGACGGGGCCGCGAAAGGGCGGCGACGCGGCCGCGAAAGGGCGGCGACGCGGCCGCGAAGGGCGGCGGGTGGGCCGCGGAGGCGGCGACGGGGCCGCGAGAGGGTGGCCGGGCCGCAAGGGGCGGCGACGGGGCCGCTAAGGGTGGCGACGGGGCCGTGAGTGGGGGCCGTGAGTGGGGCCGCTAAGGGCGGCGCGACGGGCCGCTAAGGGGAGGGCGGCCCACAGGACGCGCCTCGGTCAGGGGCGACTCGATCTCAGGGCAGAAAAAAAAAAAATAGTGGTGGGCCCAAGGAAAAGTTCCCACTAGGGAACCTGCTCTATACCATGTGAAGAAATGAGGAATGAATGAACTAGGAAATGAGTTGGGTACAAATATGAAACCCTAGAAAGCTGTACCCCATACTGTCTACCCCACTACAGCCTAGAAAGACTATAGCATATAAGTTCGACATGGTGGACTAACAAGTGCTGGATGAAAAGATCTCAAAGAGCTTGCGGAGCATGAAATGCAAATGAAAAGGAGCAAATGAGCACGAAAACATCCATTCATACCCATCCACCACACACAGAAGCCCGTGTCCAGATCTGGTCATCCAACCCTGGGCTGGATGATTCTCCCGCCAAAAAAAAAAAAACAACTGGGAGAAAGTTCCCTACTCGACGCTTATTGGCTCTTGCAGCCTTGGGACTCTGACAACAACTGTTGCCATGGCCACGTGTGCAGAACACCTACACTTGGTAAAAAATGATTATAAAACACAATGAGCAAACGTAGGATGCTACACTTGTACTCATGTTATTCATAAAACACATAAGATCAATGGTATAAAGGAACACACCTGCTGCAGCTTTAAGGTGGCAGCCAAAAAAAAAAACCGAGTTAAAGCATATAACGACGCAGAGAAGACCAGTTGGTCGCAACCGGCCATGCGACCGGCGGTCGTCACTTGTCGGCCAAAGAGTTACGATGGCGAAAAATGTCATTCGCGACAAACATCACTGGCACAAAGGGTCACGGGCAGGTTGGTTGGAACACATTTTTCACGGTCAGGTGGGCGCGGAATTGTGAGCGGCTGGCCTTGTCGTATGCGGCGGAGCCTTGCGCCCAAGCCCTTCGGAATCCGGAGCACACGGATCCAAGGCCTCGGATCATGGGGCAAACGCACTCGGAACTCCGCCACAACGTTATCAGAGTCCCTGTCCTTCCGCCTCACTCCTCACCTCACTCGGCGGCAATTCAAGAACCCACCGACACACCACCACTTCCTTGTGTGACACTAGTAACTAGTTTGGTGGTGCGACTATGGGAACATTATGTACAGCAATAGAAACACTTAGCGACTTTCCAGCCTATCGTCAAGAACGCACTCCTGTGAGGTTTCTTCGGCGAGAATGGACGCGCTCCGAGTTACCCTGTTTAAGTTAGGTTTTCGCTCTAATTATCCACTAATCAGCCTCATGACCGCTTATGTGACGAGAGTGTCTTGGTTATTAGTTTCTTTCGAGTTAATCTGTTTCTGACGCTGCGAGGCCGTGTGTGTGGCGTAGCGCGCTTAGTACTGGGATGTGGGCGTTGAATAGTGGCGTACTCGCGTGGATGAGGAATCGGAAGATGACTGGCAAGTCGGACAAGTCCAAGCACGAGAATAAGGCGGAGAATAAGGCCAAGCACGAGAATAAGGCCGAGAATAAGGCCAAGCAAACAGGCAGGGCCAAGCAAGCGGACGCAGCAGCAGGCAAGGCACGCTTAGTCTAGACGCCTCAATATGTCGCAATTTCTCTGGCACCTGTTCCGCTTTCCACATCTCCCCGCCACCCGCACTCTATCTGCTCTTTCCGCTCGATCCCATTCCTACCTTTCTACCGACCTGTTCATGTCCCAACCCTCTCCTTACGTTTTCCGCTTCACCTTTTTTCTTAACGTCTCCCCTAATGTCGTCTTGTCCCTCTTCCCGCTCCCCCCACCCCCGTCTCAGCCGCCCCCATCCAGGGCGCGTGCGTGCGATTCTCCCTAGCTGACATGGTAGCCGCGACGAGCGACTGGTCGCCGCAGTTGCACTTGATGAGGGGCAGCTACAGCGAGCTGTTCAAAGGCGTCGACCCGCGCGATGGCGTCACTCCGTGGCTCCTCAAGCGCCGCTTGCGCTGCACCGACGAGTTCCAGGCCGAGGTGCGGGGGAGGGGGAGACGGCGCGGTCGATTAGGTTTGGTGGCGGCGGGATGGTGCGGAAGAGAGTGGGGTGGGGAAGAGAGAGGGGAAGCATAAGAGATGGAGGCTGAAAGGAGGAGGGAGTAGGAAGGGGACGCGGGGGTGAGATGAAGCAGTCTCTTAAAGTGTCCCTTTCTCACGATTTCCATCAAGAGCACTGCTTTCACTTTCTCCCACTGAGTCTCCAATACTGCCACAGGAATATCTCCAACCTGTGGCCTTTAAAGTAGCTGCCTCGCTCTCTCTTTCTTACAAAAGCATCTCCTTGATTGGTTCTGAAGCCAAGCAATGCGACGTGAAAAGAAGCTCTGTGCGTCCGTTCTTTCGCCTGCCTTCCCCCAGGTGGCGGAGATGGGGCACAAGAACCACCCTCACCTGGTGCGGCTGCTGGGGTACTGCGATGAGCAGGACGAGCAGGGGCGCAGGGAGCAGGTGGCCGTGTATGAGTTCATGACTGGCGGCAGCATTGTCGACAAGTTTGGTCCGGGTAAGGGGCTACACACACACACACACACACACACACACACACACACACACACACACACACACACACACACACACACACACACACACACACACGCACACCTCCAATTTAGCAACTCCGTGTCCCCGCAAGTGTGGTGCTCAGTGCTCGTGGAAACTCCAAGCGTGTAAATGCTTCTCTGTTCTCCACCAGTGTTGCAGTATACTTGCTGTGCTGCTTCTGCTAGCCTGGCATCTGTCACATGACATGACATGTGCCTCCCCAAGGTGGATTGGCTTGGCTTTTGCCCCATCATTTCGAATCATTCTACCTTCCGGCGTGTGTTTCTCCTTGCAGGTTGCACTGGCACGCCTTTGTCCCTGCAGCAGCGGCTGGACATTCTGATAGGGGTGGCGCGCGGGCTGGAGTATCTCAACACGTTGGGCATCGTGCACCGCGGTCTCAACCCCTCCAACATTCTTCTGGATGCCCGCATGCGCGTAAGTGTGTGCTGTGCTGTGCTGTGGCCCATGTGGGCACTACGCACGCAACACACACACACACACACACACACACACACACACACACACACACACACACACACGCACACACACACAGACATTTTGCTGAACTCTTGTGGAGCAGAATCCACAGAGTGAATCGGTTCTCCTGGGTTATCCTGTAACACCGATGCTGTACGGATACCTTTTCGTCCCTCCCGCTCACACCACGCGGTTACCCTGTGCCCACCGCCCCGCACCTCACCTCACTACACCGCACTGCACTGCGCACCACCACACGCAACACAATGCCAGGCGAAGATCGCGGGGTTTGACTCGGTGGCGAGCAGTGCGGCAGTGAGTGAGGGCGAGCGGTTAATGCCGGCCACGGGCGTGCGTGGCTATGTGGACCCGCACCTGCTGCTCTCTCACGAGCCCTCCACCACCAACGACCTCTACAGGTGCCCACCTGCCACTCTCGCTAATTCGGCCGTGCCCCTCCTTCTCCCCGTTCTGCCCCATCCGTCCACTCCGTTCACTCTGCCGCCTCTGCCTGCCTCCCCTGCACGAGGTTACGGTGCCATACCGTTGCTTTCCACAGCACAGCACCATCTGGTTACCACCACTCCTAGTGCCTGCCTTCTCTCCTAGCCGCAGTGCTCGTTTTTCTCGTTTTCTCATTTTCAACAGCATCCCTTACTCTCAACTCTCTGCTCTGCAATACCACCCTACACTCGTTCCCTCTCCATCCCTCTCTTCGCCCCTATGTCCTGCTCCTCTTCCCCTCCCTCTTTTGCCCACCCACCCACCCTGTGCGCCTTGTGGTTGTGCATGCAGTCTGGGGGTGGTGATGCTGGAGTTGCTGTCAGGCCGCCGTTCCCTCACTCCAAGACAAACCACGGCACATACTTTCAGAGAGAGTGTGAGTGTGGGCTGTGGGAGTGTGCGTGGAGGTGGTGCGAGTGTGCGAGTGAGTGGAGCATTGGGGTGGGTGGCTGCGTGCAAGTGGAGGTGAGTGAGAGTGTTGTGTTCTGTGGAATGTTTTTAGTCGACTCAAAACTAGGCTAAGAAATTTGAGTCGACTCAAACCTTATTTTCCTACTTGCTTAAACCTACTCCTACGCAAGTGCTGCTCACTGGAAAATGTCAAGGGTGCGTGCGAGTGGAGGTGAGTGAGAGTGTGAGAGTGTAGTGTTCTATGGAATGTCAGCACAGTGCCTCCATCATTGGCAATGCTCCAAGCGCCCCCCCCCGGACCGGACGGCTCTCAGAAGCTCCCATATTCCATCTGTTTGCTGCGGTGGTAAGGCAGCAGGAGAGAGCCCCCCCACTGATTAGGCATCGTTTCTTTCTATCTTGCTTTTATCCCAGCCAAGGGCCAAAAGCCGCTTTATTCTCTGCATCGCTGCCCTTGGTGTTTTTGGCTCCTCCCAACATCCACCCACCTATTTTGTGATTATACTGTGGTTCAGTCAGGGTTCATGGTTTCGGGTCCGATGTCAGCGTCTTACTTCCACTCCACCCACTTGCATTCACCCTTAGGCTTCTTGCCTCCTCTTCCTCCCCTTCATCCCACACCAGATTGAAACGCAGCTCCAAGCCAACAACTTAGCTGCTTTATTTGATCCCGCCCTCGCCTCCTCCTGCCTCCCACACACCACCGCCAACACCAGCGCCAGCATCCCTAGCAGCAGCACCACGAGCATCAGCATGCTTGCGAGTGCCGCCAGCACCAGCACTGCAGGCACAACAGCTGGCGGCGCTGTCGATACTCCACTGAGTGTGCCCATACCGAATGCGCTTATACCCAGTCTGGTGCAGCTGGCTCGTGCCGGACTTGCATGCACATCCATGCCTGCGTCCTCCCGGCCCTCCCTGGGAAGAATCCTTGCTGAGCTGGAGATTGTGCGGGATGACGTGGCAAAGGAGTTGAGGAAGATGGAGGAAGAGGCAGAGAAACAAGCAGGAAAACTGGAGGAAGGGAACGGTGGCGCGGCAGAAGACAATATGGGGCAGGCTCATCTTGACTCGTGGGCTGGTGCTGGTCTCCCCCCCCCGAGTGATCTGTCCTCCAGTCTTCCTTCCCAACCACCGCCCCCTCCTCCTGTGGTCGTTCCCTCCTCCTCCGCGCTCCCGCTGGCGCCGCTGCTGTGCCAGCAGGTGAGTGTGGCGGAGGTGGTGCGGGCGACGGGCGGGTGGGCTGCGGAGAGGCGAATCGGCAGCGGCGGGTTTGGCGACGTTTACCGCGGAGTGAGCCCCCTCGATGGGTGCACGCCCTGGGCTGTCAAGCGCGCCAAAGTGCTCACCAACGACTTCCGCCGAGAGGTGAGCACAGAATAATGGGATGGGATGTGGCTGATATGAATGGGATGGGGATGAAAGCAAGGGCTTAATTACAGTGCTCACCAATGAATTTCGGCGCGAGGTGAGTACGAGGAATGGGATGTACATGGGAGTAGGGGCTGAGGTTACAGTGCTTTCCGATGACTTCCGGTTCGAGGTGAGCAGAGAGAGACTCATGGGATGTGGATTGGACTAGGGGCTGCGACTGTAGTGCTCACCAATGTTTTCCAAAGAGAAGTGAGAGGAATGGGATAGGCGCCAAGTTCCCACCCTTTCCCCTCGACCCTTTTCCTCCATCCCACTGTATCACTCCCGCGCTCTCCTCCGCGCTCGCAGATCAACGAGATGGCATCGAAACACCACCCTCACCTGGTGCGGCTGCTGGGGTTCTGCATGGACTACGATGCGGCAGCGGAGCGCATGGAGCAGATCGCCATCTATGAGTTCATGCCCAATGGGGACCTGTACCAACGCATGCACGCGGAAGCCACAGGTAAGGCAGCAAGCAAGCAGGGGACTCTGTGGTGCCTGCCTGCCTGCCTCAAAAGGAGCTGACTTTTGAGTCGACTCAAAAGTCAGCGCGGAAGCCACAGTTAAGACAGCAAGCTAGCCTGGGGACTCTGTGGTGCCTGCCTGCCTCAAAAGGACACACAGGTGTGTGAGTGAAGAGTGGATTGTGTTGCACAAGTGGGATCGTCTTGCTGCTCCTGCTCTTTCTGTTTTTTTCCCCTGATCCGTCTTTCCTTTTCCCCCCACGTGTCGTTCTCGCCTCTGTTTTGTTCCGCAGGTAAAGTTACACCTCTGACCCTGCAGCAGCGGCTGGACATTCTCATCGGAGCAGCGCGCGGGTTGGAGTATCTGCACAGCTTTGGCATCGTGCATCGCGACATCAAGCCCGCTAACATCCTGCTCGACAAACACATGCAGGTGCCTTCCCTCCCCCAGCAGCTTCCATCTAGCGAAGCCAACATGATGGCTGAAGCAAGACGAGCAGTGACTCTGTACCATGCGACTCCGTGCTCCTCACTGTGACCACCAAGTCGCATGGGACAGACAGGGTCACTGTACGTTTCATGATAAAGCTTGTGCTCACTTCCTTTTCCGTCCACCTGCTTCTCTCCTTATGGGGTCTCTTGCTTTTCTTCCCCTTGCCGATCTGCTGTGCGTTTCCCTGTTCTCCTTGGTCCCGCAGGCAAAAGTCTCAGACTTTGGGTTGCTGAGGATGGGCGAGGGCAGCTGTTCAGTGCAGTCCACGCGGGTGATGGGCACACCGGGCTATGTGGACCCTGTCTACTCCATCACTCGCAAGGCCACGCCCAGTGCTGACGTGTACAGGTGCGAAGGCGTGTGGTGCCACTGCCACATGTGCACTTGCTGCCCAGTTATGCTCTTTCCCTTGTCTGTCATCCCTCCTTTCACTTGACTCCACTCTTTTTTCACTACAGTGCCTTTGTTGCCCATAGTTCTTGCTCGTCAAAACTGATTTGTTCAACCTGTTTCCTGCCCACTCCTGCACACCTGCCTCTCGTCTTGTTTGGCATCTTCTTTCTGCCGTCCACACACTCTCCTTTCCGCCCTTGTCCTCTCCTTGTTCCTCTCCCTCCCTCTCCCCCCAGCTTTGGAGTGCTGATGATGGAGCTGCTGGCATGCAAGCATGTTGTGCTGCTATCTGAAGATGGCTCGCACACCAACATCAAGGAATGGGTATGCTGCTGCTGCCGCTGCTGCTGCTCCTTTCTTTCAACCATTGTCCCTCTTCCCCAGCTGTGTGTATGTGGGGTGCGTTTATTCATATCTCAGTTCTTCTTCTCACTTGACTTTCGAAAAACCTTCCATTCCCCCTTTTCCCTCTCCCTCTTCCACTTTTTCTATCCCTTCCCTTGTTGTCCTCCTCGACCCGTCCCTTCCCTGTCCTTTCACCCCTGTTTCCAATCCCACATTCTTTCACTCACCCCTTTGTCTCCGTCCCATTCTTGACAGGTGGAGCAACAGGTGGAGAGAGGGAACACTGCAGCTGTTGTGAATGCGGATCTCAATGCACCACACGCCATGGCCTCCAAGCTAGTGGAGATGGCTCTTTCATGTGTTGCAAGGCTCGTGTCCAATCGTCCAAGCATGAGCCAGGTGCTAGTTCAGCTCGAAACTCTGCAGAGGGAATACATGGGTGGAAAGCATGAGAGAGTAGCTAAACGGTTAGATGCAAGAGTTAGACAAGCCTCTCTAAATTGCAGGCCTCTGGAGGAAGAGCTTGAAATCATCAGGAGTGTTTATGATGGTGACTAACGTGCATACGAAGGTGCTTAATTATGCTAATACCAATATCCCTAACCACAAAACACATTAGTAGTGTCGATTAGGCCTAATCTACAATAACAATTTCATGTTCGCCCATCTCGTTTATGTCATACATTAGCCCAGTTTCTTCCTTTTGGATGAAGTAGATTGTGGATTGTACCGTACGAGGTTTGGCAGTTGGTACATCGACATCCCCTGTTAGTATCATCCTCCCTGCTTGTCGTAAATCGAGTACACGATGGCGTCACTGCTGACATGTTTAGATGCTGGCCTCCAATACCTTGTTGCTTCCGTTCCGCCCCTGCCCTTCTGACCGTAAAATCCAGTTGGATTCATGGTAGGCATTTTATTCCGGGTTTTCTCATCATCACACCCCACCAAAGCCCGGTTTGTAAGCGACTCTCCTCCCCGCTCTAGAGTTCTACGGTCGAGGCGCTTATGACCTGGGAATAGAAACGAAAAAGGCATCCTTGAGCGACAGAAAAACATTTGCTTGTACCCTAAATGGTAGCTGCAAGCAGGCATACCCAATAACATGACAACAGCTGGCTTTTCTGTAGGCTTTAGGTCACTACGCCACGTGTACCAGACTAAACTCGTGGGCGTTCCGTAGGCAAACAGCTGGTGTGGTTCGGCCACATCGTAGACCTCATCCAATCAGCACCACTCCACCCTGGTTTGCGGTTTGTGTTCTTCCCCCTCATCGGCTTGCGACAAGAGAGCATCAAACAATTTTTTGACGAGACAAGCTAGACGAAACAGGTTAGCTGGGAGTTACCCGCCATCAAGGGTGTTGCGATGAAGTAACTGAGAACATTGCGAGGTTCGTTAATGCCCCTGGAGAAGATAGGTGTTTCGTCTTCGTCGCAATTTTCCTGAGACTCGCTCGACAATTGGGCGTCCTAGCTCGTCACCTGGTGCAACTGGAAATGCTGTGACAGCAAGCCAAAGCCAAAAGCCGAGTCGAGGCGTGAAAGGTGTGCGAAGCATTTGAGCCGTCTTGTCGTCGTCTTGCCTCACTCGGTCTGCTCTGGAGCTTCTTTCTGTTAGAATCGGCGAACATAACTTACAATCTAGAAAACCAATGTTTCCACCACCTCCTCAGACAGTTATCCCGTAACGTGATCACCTAGTGAGGCGTCTAAGCGCATTTGAGCCCCTTACCGACAGACCGAAGCTGCAGAAGCTCCAGGGAGGGTCTCTCACCTCTTCCCGTTGCCTCGAAGCCCGCGCTTGTCGCAATTCTCAACTCTACACCATCCCTCCACACACCCACCACGTTCCCGCCAATCGCAGCTCCCCACGTCCACCCACCAACCACCCGCTCATATCCACCGTCCACAATCTCCCCTTCACCACCCGTCCGATCCGTGCGTCCCATCCGCGGCGCTATGCGGCTAGCGGAGATGCGCGCGGTGTACGCGCAGCTGGCGCCGCTGATGGCGGGCATGATCCTGGTGGCCATGGGGCTGTGCGTCGCGCTCGTCTCCATGCTTGACGTCATCGTCTCAGCGCTCTGCCCCACCGACCAGTGCCCCGAGGCACTCATGCTCTCCGCCGGCCGCGCCACGGTACGGGCGTGCGTGCGCGTCGTCGTGCCAATTGGGGGTGCGCGTCGCCCCGTGCTCTCTGAATGAGTGAACGTTAAGGCCTATGCCTTTCCCCGCGCCCTCCCCCAACGCCCTCTCCTCAACCTTTCCCGTCACGCCGTCCTTTTACATCCCCGTTTTACGCCCCCGCTTCGCGCCCGTCCCTCGCGGCATGGCAGATAGGCGGCATAGCGAACATCATCGTGGCGCCCATATTCGGAGGCCTCTCCGACAAGCACGGTCGCAAGCCCTTCCTGCTGCTCGGCATCGCAGGCATCACCATCCCCTACGGTGGGCCCTCGCCGCTCCTTCTCTTCACCTTGCCTATCGGCTGTCAGGTCTACCACTCTGTTCATTCGTCTGTGTTTTCCCCTTGTCTAACTTCAGCTTCTCTTCGCCGACCTCCCACTCTTTTCCCGCTCCACCACCCCACCACCCCAACACCCCCCATCCCCCACTCCCCTCACCTTCGTTGCTTCCCCATAATCGTCACGGTTTGCCCCTTGGCCCTTTCCCTTTTTCGCCCCAAACTGCAACTTCCCGTACCCCTTACAGCCATCCTCGCTACCAGCTCCAGTCGCCTGGCCGTGTACCTGTTCTTTGCAGCAGAGACGGCAGGGTCTGCCCTGGGCGGCTCTGCATGGCTCAATCTTATCTACGCCTATGTGGTGGGCCACTGAACCATGCTGAACCCATTCCCACTCCTCTCCTACCCCTTCTCTCCGTTGTACCTTCCACGGTTCGGCATTTGCTGCTACTGCTCCTCTTTCCTTCTCCCCCGCTGTTTCCCCTTCTGTTCCTGCCTCTTCTCCAACTGCTTTACCCTCCCCCTGACGTATCAGTTGCTCTCTTTGCACCACTGCTGCCTGCCCTGCAATTCTCGCCCTTGTTCCTTTTCTTATGCATTTTCCCCTTTCTCTCGCTCGCTGTCTCCTTCCCTCTCTTGCTCGCCCTCTCCCTCACGCATCCCGGCACTCCCTCCTTCGCAGGCGGACGTGACAGCAGAGGCCAACAGGGCGGCGGCGTTTGGAGCCATCTCCGGCACCACTGCCTTTGGCTTCCTCGCTGGCCCGCTCGTCGCCCGATTCGTGCCTCCTGCCATCACCTTCCATGTGCGCCCCACCCACACATGCTCACACGCACGCTCACACCCACGCACACACGCACGCTCACACCCACGCTCACACGCACGCTCACACGCACGCTCACACGCACGCTCACACCCACGCTCACACGCACGCTCACACCCACGCTCACACGCACGCTCACACCCACGCTCACACGCACGCTCACACGCACGCTCACACGCACGCTCACACGCACGCTCACACGCACGCTCACACGCACGCTCACACGCACGCTCACACGCACGCTCACACGCACGCTCACACGCACGCTCACACGCACGCTCACACGCACGCTCACACCCACGCTCACACGCACGCTCACACCCACGCTCACACGCACGCTCACACCCACGCTCACACGCACGCTCACACCCACGCTCACACGCACGCTCACACCCACGCTCACACGCACGCTCACACCCACGCTCACACGCACGCTCACACCCACGCTCACACGCACGCTCACACCCACGCTCACACGCACGCTCACACGCACGCTCACACGCACGCTCACACGCACGCTCACACGCACGCTCACACGCACGCTCACCACGCACGCTCACACGCACGCTCACACGCACGCTCACACGCACGCTCACACGCACGCTCACACGCACGCTCACACGCACGCTCACACCCACGCTCACACGCACGCTCACACCCACGCTCACACGCACGCTCACACCCACGCTCACACGCACGCTCACACCCACGCTCACACGCACGCTCACACCCACGCTCACACGCACGCTCACACCCACGCTCACACGCACGCTCACACCCACGCTCACACGCACGCTCACACCCACGCTCACACGCACGCTCACACCCACGCTCACACGCACGCTCACACCCACGCTCACACGCACGCTCACACCCACGCTCACACGCACGCTCACACCCACGCTCACACGCACGCTCACAGCCCACGCTCACACGCACGCTCACACGCACGCTCACACGCACGCTCACACGCACGCTCACACGCACGCTCACACGCACGCTCACACGCACGCTCACACGCACGCTCACACGCACGCTCACACGCACGCTCACACGCACGCTCACACGCACGCTCACACGCACGCTCACACCCACGCTCACACGCACGCTCACACCCACGCTCACACGCACGCTCACACCCACGCTCACACGCACGCTCACACCCACGCTCACACGCACGCTCACACCCACGCTCACACGCACGCTCACACCCACGCTCACACGCACGCTCACACCCACGCTCACACGCACGCTCACACGCACGCTCACACGCACGCTCACACGCACGCTCACACGCACGCTCACACGCACGCTCACACGCACGCTCACACGCACGCTCACACGCACGCTCACACGCACGCTCACACGCACGCTCACACGCACGCTCACACGCACGCTCACACGCACGCTCACACGCACGCTCACACGCACGCTCACACGCACGCTCACACGCACGCTCACACGCACGCTCACACCCACGCTCACACGCACGCTCACACCCACGCTCACACGCACGCTCACACCCACGCTCACACGCACGCTCACACCCACGCTCACACGCACGCTCACACCCACGCTCACACGCACGCTCACACCCACGCTCACACGCACGCTCACACCCACGCTCACACGCACGCTCACACCCACGCTCACACGCACGCTCACACCCACGCTCACACGCACGCTCACACGCACGCTCACACGCACGCTCACACGCACGCTCACACGCACGCTCACACGCACGCTCACACGCACGCTCACACGCACGCTCACACGCACGCTCACACGCACGCTCACACGCACGCTCACACCCACGCTCACACGCACGCTCACACCCACGCTCACACGCACGCTCACACCCACGCTCACACGCACGCTCACACCCACGCTCACACGCACGCTCACACGCACGTACCCACACACACACGAAACCACGCGCACACCCAACCACGCACAGACATGCCGCTGCTTTTGTACTGTAGTATAGTCATCCCGTGCTCTTATGTCTTCTCTCCAACGTGATTGTTCATTGTGCAACCTGATTCTCCTCTCCATTGCCAACCACCGCTGAGTCTCTTACCTTGCCGCTCTGCAAAATTCTGCGGCAGCACCGCATCACCATGAGGCCTGCACCTGCTACTCCTACTTCCTGCACACATCTGCCTCTGACTGACCCACATGCTTTTATGGTTTACCTCACCACCATTTGCACTCGTGGTGTCCTGTCCCCTGAATCAATTACATGCGTGCATGCATGTGTGTGCAGGTGGCAACGCTGCTGTGCTCGTGTGGGTGGGCGTACATTCTCATCATGGTGCCTGAGTCCCTGCCCTCCCACCGCCTCCTGCGCAAGGCCGCCTCGCTTGCGGACGAGGAGCATGGTGGTAGCGCCGCTGCTGCTGCCGCTGCTGCTGTGGCGGCTGTTGATGGCGTGGGGCCTGGTCCAGACGGGGGAGGGGGAGGAGGAGGCAGTGGGGGGATTGTGGGGGAGCGGACGTGGCTGCTGGAAGGGTGTGGAGATGGAGGGAATGGGGAAAAGGGAGGAGGAGGCAAAGGAGGCGGACGTGAGGGGGAAGAGGTAGGAGGAGGGGGGAGTGCAGGGCGGGGAGGGGCGAGGAGCGTGGGGGGAGGAAAGGCGGTGGCGTTGATGCGCAACAGATCGACTCTGAGAGAAGCCATGCACGTCATGTCCTCCAGGTGCCATTGCTGCCCTCTCCCTGCCTCTCCCTGCCTCTCCCTGCCTCTCCCTGCCTCTCCCTGCCTCTCACTGCTGGAGTGGCACTGCTTTGGCGAGAACCGGTTCACCCTTTGTGTCCTGTTCAACCATCTTCTTGAATTCACTCCTCTCTTGCTGTTGCTGTGTCTCATCCCAACGCCATTTCCTTCCCTCCCTTCCCACCTCCCGTGTCCTCCGCCCTGCATGACCCAGTCCGCTGGTGTCTATTCTGCTGCTCGTGGCCTTCCTGCATGCCTTTGCAGACAACGGCCAAACCTCCAACATGTTTGTGAGTCGCCCTCCTTTGTTTTCCTTCCCACAAGGCCCCCTGCTCCCCGCAACCCGCACTCTCGAGGCCCACGTGCAGCCCGCAACCTCGTGGTGCTCTTTAGAAGATTCTCAGCTAGCACATGGTTGTTTCGTCGGTCGCTCGCAAAGCTGTCCCCTTGGTCAGGATGACTTCTCACTCTACACGCTCACCTTGGCTTGGAGACGTCTCAAATCTAATCCCATCCTGCACCTCCCTCCCCCCCTTCCTCACCCCTCGCCAGTACGTGTTCAAGGCCAAGTTCCACTGGAACAAGGACGACTTCTCTCTATACACCGCTGGCATCGGGCTCTTTGCCGTGCTCTCCCAGGTGTGCTGCTGTGCTCTCCCAGGTGTGCTGCTGTGAAGCACTCTGAAGACGTTCACCAGTTCTCACCCGCACTTTGTACACACATTCTAATTCCATCAAGCCAATGTTGATCGCACCATTCCATTATGATATCCCACTCTCTGCATTGTCACGCCTGCTTAGCAAACCATCCATTTTCAGCCTCCTTACCTCCATAGTCTCCCTCTCTCCCCTCCTCTCCCCCCCCCCACTGCCAGCTCCTGCTGCTGCCACTGCTGCTCCAGATTCTCTCCCTTCGCTCCCTCCTCATCCTCGCTATTTCCATCAACAGCTTTCATGTGAGTGAGCCAGCCAGACCCCTACCATGCCGATGCCGATCACCCTCGTGCCATTGGAGTGGAGCCACGTAGTATCCCATGGCAAACAGATACTACGTGGCTCCAATGTACGTACACAGATGGTATACCATGTGAATCAAACAGAATCAGTCAGCATTTTCTGTGATTCATGGATTCGAAACGTCAAAATTGCTGACGATTCCCCTCTCCCTTTCCCTGTGCCGGTGCATGTCTTTGTCTGTACCTCCCATGCATACAATACAGATGGTCCTTTACGGCCTCGCCTGGAAGCCATGGGTATGTCCTCTTCAACCGCAACCCCCCTCCCCCTCCCCACCCCCCCCTCCCAAGTCCAATATGACCCATTCCGCACCCACTTCTCAATCCCATGCATCCATCCGTCCTCACCTGCTTACTAATGGCAACGCATGTGGACCTTAATGTGCACTTGGCCGCGCCTGCATGCCCTGCCCAGTAGGTAAGCTTCACACGTTGCACCCAGCCTGATACGTGGTGTGGCATGGCATGGCATGTGTGCAGGTGGTGTACCTCGCGCTTTCAATGAGCCTCGTCTCCTCGCTCACTCAAACCTCGGTACGCCCTCTCCTCCCCCCTCTCCTCCCTCCACACGCGTCTCCATGCCTTCCACCTTCACCATTGCTTTCACTCTTGTTGCCTTTTCATCACGCCTGGAAGATTCACGCCTGCCAAGTGCCTCTAATCATCGCGTCTCCTTCATTTCACCTCTCCTCCCCATTGTCCATTCGCACTCGTCACATGCCTCTCCCCCATGTAGATCGGCAGCATGGTCTCACACCTTGCAGACCCCAGGGAACAGGTGAGCCAGGGGAAGGGAGGTTGTGGTTCTGCGACATGTCAAAACTCCGATAGGTGAGTCATGAGGGATTATTCATTGAAGCTGCATTCCTGTGAGGGCAAGCTTCTGTGTGCATGTTCCAGCGCGCTCGTGCCTCGGTCCATTTGACTTTCCCCGCTTTCATTCGTCCCTCCCTCCCTTTCTCATCACAGCTATCACTAAAACTACCCTGAGCACCACCTCTCGTTCCCTCCTCCGCTCACATCCTGCTTTCCCTGCCTGCGTGCCTCGCCGCACAGGGCAAGCTGCAGGGGGTGGTGTCGGGCGTGTCGTCTCTCTCTGCCGTGCTCGCACCGCTCACCATCAACCCCATCACCGGTAACCCTCCCTCCCTCCCACCATCCTGCATCCTCCTCTCCCTAGCACATTGTGCTGTCTCCAGTCTTCTTAGGCGGCATGGGAGGAAGGGCGGCATGGGAGGAAGGGCGGCATGG